TTATTAAATTTTATATATATTTTATAATAAAATTCTTATAAATATAATTAATTTTAATAATTAACGTAATAATTGCTTTTTTATTATTTTATTTTTAAGCTAATAAACAGTAGGGGTTGGTTTTTATCCGTAAATTTTAATGCCTTAGGCATTTACTATAAATTCACGGTAAATTACCGGTAAATTACCATTCTCTAGTAAATTCATGGTGAATTTACCATAGGACCGTCCAACCATGATATATTTACTGTTGATTGGATTTAATAATATTAAGCTTATTTTATAAAAAAGTTATAAGAATTAATACCTTAACTTTACTTTAATTACGCAAAACCTTAAACTAATTAAAAATGCTTTAAATTATAAATTTTAAGCATAAGCAAAATATTAACTATAAAAATTATATATATTAAGCTTAACTTATTTTACCGCTATATAATATTTTTAGGATTAATATTAAAAAAAGCTAAAGAAAGCTTAAGCTTAAAATAATAATAAGCTAAAAGTATAAAATTTTATATTGCATAAGGTTTATAATAATTTAACTTAGGTTATACTCTTAATAAAGCCCGCTTATAAGCCTATCCTAACCTTAAAGGAATTTACTTAAGCCTTAATTCCCGCTTAAAAGAAAAAAAAATGCTTAAGGTTAAAAGATAAGGAATAATGTTAATACGTTTATTGCTTAAAGAAAACCTTTAAAGACTTAAAATTAATAAAAATATAAAAAGTAATATTAAAAGAAGCAATAATTAAAATTAAGCTATTAAATAAGTTCCTTATAAATATAAAGTTTACTTAAATTACTTATATAATAAACTTAAATTTGCCATGCATTTAAGCTAAACTTATAATTAAGGTTAAGATAAGTTATTTAAAGTTAAAAATAAATAATATAAATTTAAGCTTAATTAATAAGATTATTTATAAAATGCAAAACTATAATATAATAAAGGGGTTTAAATAAATTATTTAAAAGAGTTTAAGGAATATTAGCTAAAGATTCTTTATCTTTAAGTTTATTATTTTAAAAAGAAAAAAGTTTAAAGGGTGCCTATAAAGAATGCTTAACCTTTTAATTAAGTAGATATATAAATAATTTAATATAATAAAGAAATTTATTAAGTAATTTTTAATAAGTTATTAATTACTTTTAATTTTAAGTTATAAGAATTAATATTTATTCTTTATTATATATTAAGCTTTAATTCTTAAGTTTAAGAAGTAAACTCCTACTTTAATTTAGCTTTTTAAGTTTTACGTTTAATTAAGCTAAAATGCCAATATTATTTAAAATATAAGTACTTAATATAATTTTTATATTAATTAAATAGTAGTTTTTATAAATAAGGTAACTTATAAGCTTTTAAATAAAATTATTTAAATTAACATAATATACTCTTATAACCTATAAGGCTAACTCCTAGCTACTTTATATAATAATAAAAAGAAAAGTAAAGGCTAGAATTTAAATTATATTATATAAATCTTATATTATAAGGAAATAATAAAATATTATAAGCTAATTATTAATTTAAATTTTAAATATAATTATAATTAATGGCAAATATTTTAATATTAAATGATAAACTAAGATAAATAAATTATAAATACTATCCTATACTTTAATAATTAACTTTATAATTAAAATATAATAATAATAAATTTTAATAATAATAAGATAAAGCATTAAATAAAGCTATTAAAAAGCATATTATATAAAAATTAAGATATATATATAAAGTTAATAATAGGAAAACCAAACTTAAATAATATCTTAGCTATATAGCTTTAAAATAAGAATTTAAATAAAGAAAATAATATATAAAAGGCAATATTATTATTTAATTAAAGAGCAAAGAATACTTTGCTTATGAAAAGTCCCATTCTTAATCTTAATATTTTAATTAGCTTTATTAATTAAAAAGGTAAAATTATTAGGGATAAATAAGGTAATAAAAGTATTAAGCAAAGAGGTGCGCCGGCTTAAAATCCTAATTTAAATAATTTAAATGATAAGGGTAACTTACTTAATAATAATAATGAAAGTTTAAGACTTAAATTTATAAAGGATTTTAATAAGGGAAAAGATAAGGTTTAAAAGGTAAAAATATATTAATTAAGAGGCATTATTTACTTTATTAAAAGACATATAAATAAGAAAGAAAAAATATATATAAGACTTAATTTAAAATAGCTTAATTACTTATCTTAACATCTTAAGCAAAAAAAATATATTATAATTAATACTTAAAAAAGATAAAGAGCGATTCCTTTTAGCATTTTAAAGATACTTAAAATAAACTAAGTATATTTATTAATTTATATTTAAGATTACCTTAAGTTATTATTATAAGCTTAATTATTAAGAAATATTTTATTATAAGTATAAAATTAATTAAAATTATTATTAAATATATATAATTAAGCTATAAAGCTTAATTATTAACCTTTATGCTAATGATAAGAGAAAACTAAGTATATATTATTAAGCATTGCTTTAATAACCGCTATTAATAAATAAGAAAAGTAATTTAATTAAATTGCAAACTTCTTAAGGAAATAAGGCGCTAAGGATTTATTTAAGCTTAATTTAAGCTTAATATTTAATAAAAAGGATTGCTTAGTAAATATAAAGTTTAAGCAAATTATTTATAAAATAAGTTATTAAAATATTAAGTTTTAAGAAACCTTATTTAATTAAAAGTATTAAGCCTTAAATTAATAATTACCTAAAGAAGGATAGGTTTAAAGAAAAACAAGAAGATTGCTAAAAATATAATCTTTAAGATCCTTACATTATTTATTAAAAAACTAAATAAAAAGATATAAACGGCTAATTTATAATTAAAATTATTAAAATTATAAATAAATTATTTATAAAAGATAATAACGTAAATATAAGAAATTTAAAATAAATTCCTTTTAATATTTTTATATAAAATAAACATTAGCAAAGATTTACTTAAAGCATTAAATATTTAATACCTTATAAACTAAAATCCAGAACTTTATTATACACTTTGCTTTTAATAATAATAAGCAATAAGGGAATTAATTAATTAAAATGGTTATAAATAATTAATAATATAAAACTTTTAATTTACTAAGTCTTATAATATTATATTAAGCAGTTAAGAACCCCTATAAATTTAGCTAACTTAATAATAAAAATTACTTAAGAAATTCAAGATTTAAGGAATTATATATTTATTATTAACCTAAATTATAAATACTACCTAATAAATCAAGGTTTTCTTTATTATTTTATAAGAAATAATAATAAAAAGAGGCTATATACTTTTTTAAGAGAGTAAATTAAAAATTATATTGCTTAAACTTAAGAAAAGAAAATCTTAAATAACCTTTAATAAGCTATTAAAAAAAACCTTAACTTATTAAGCCCTTAACTTTTATACTTAATTATAGCTAAAGATAATATTTTAAACATTTCTTAAAAATTTAATTAAAAAGCTAATAAAAAAAGTTATTATTTAAATATTAAATCTTTTCTTTAAAATTATTTAAATTTAATTATTATTAAGCCTTATAAAAAGAAAACCCTATTAACTTAAAATAAGGAAGCTATAAAAAAAAGCGAGAATAACTATTTCCCTATATTATTTTAATTAAAAAGGCAATTTAAAAAAGGCTTTATATAAATTAAAATAAAAGGAAAGCTAAATTAAAAAAATAAAGTAAGTAATAAAGATTATTATATAAAAAATACATTACTTAAAAGAAAACTTTATAATAATAGCTTAGCAATATATTAAAAAGATAAATTAATTTTAATAAAATAATTTAAATATAAAAAATATAATTAACTTAATTAATAGTAACCTTAAGGAAAAGTTTAACTTAAATAATAATAATAATAATTAAGATAATTAAAGCATTAATTAAAAAATATATTAATTAATTATATAATTAATAAAGATAAAACTTTAGGATTAAAAGATAAGGATAATAAAAACAGCTTAGCTTTTATTTAAGTTTATATTTAATATTTTATTATTACCTTAATTATTGCTAAGTATAATAAAATAAATAAAAATAAGTAAGCTTATAACTTTTTAAGAATATTACTTTAATTAAGAAGTTAATAATAAATTAAAAATATTATATTAAGTTTGCTAACTTAATATAATATTTAATATAATTTTAAAGTTATAAAGGGGTTAATAAAGGGCTATAATAATAAAAAGAAACTTAAAAGAAGATTTTATAATCTTTTATAATAATATAACCCTTTATAATTATTTTTTTAAAAAAACTAAGATAAGGATAATTATTAGCATTTATTTATTATTATTAAAAACTTAATTTAAAGTAAGTACTTATAAAGATTAATATAATAATATAAATTTTTATTTTATTTTAATATAGTAAATATAATAATTTATAACTTAAATTAATACTAATTCTTTTCTTAATTTATTAATAAGAGTAAATTAAGGATAGGAAGTATATATATTTATAATGGTGTTATTATAATTTGGGCTTAGGGTTTTGCTATTAAAAAAAGGGGGTTTATATGGTGTAGGCAAGGGCGTTTAGCCCCTAAGGGCCCTAAATAAGCAATTTTTAGCTTTAAAGGTAAACTTAAACCTATTTAAGCAATATATACCCCAAATCCCCTAAATTGCTCGCACTATTTACAGTGCGATATATCTTCTTATATGGGTTAGAGAGTTTCACAGGCGTCATCAGCCAACGAGTCAGTAGGAGACTTGAATGGGGGGGCTAAGCCCCCGCATCGGCGCGGGCGGTGCGGCCGCATGTCCCGCATCTTAAGTCCGGCATCGTGTGGGTGCAGTTCGGGCGGCCATATAGCCTAACTGCGTAGTTACAGAGTGCGAGCCAAAGTATAAGAGAATTGGCTTCTCTCACTTCTTTCGAAAAGGACTCACAGATACCACCCATAAGCTCTGTACCCGCCAAGATCTACACTTTTCAGAAGGGTCGTCCTCGAGCTGTATTTTGTGACCCACCAAGTCATGTCTCCGGCCAAATTCCCCACCAGACGTCTCGGAAGAGGTGGGCCAGAGGTTTCTGCCATTGGCTTCGGGCTGATGGGTTTGGGTGGCGTCAGCTATGGTCCTGGAGGGTGAGTAAACCCTTGAGTCCCAGATGGGGATGAGTCTTCTCTCTTTTGTCTTTATTGATACGATGGCGGCCCTGCTGACTCTCCTCAGCGCCGACGGTGAGCGCTTCGTCGTTCTGGACCGCGCCTGGGAGCTCGGTTGTACCTTTTGGGATTCGTCGGATATCTACGGCGACAGTGAAGTGCTGCTCGGAAAATGGTTCAAGATGCACCCGGAAAGACGAAACGATGTTTTCTTGGCTACCAAGTTTGCCATCAAGATATCCGCAGACGGTATTGGGATGGACAGTTCTCCCGAGTACTGTCGCCAGGCTTGCGAGGCAAGTCTGCAAAAGCTGGGCATCGACTGCATCGACTTGTACTACATACATCGACTTGACGAGAAGACTCCCATCGAGAAAACAGTGCAGGAGATGGTCAAGCTGAAGAACAAGGGCAAGATCAAGCATTTTGGAATCTCCGAGTGCAGCTCCACGTCCTTGCGCCGAGCTCATGCCGTCCACCCTATCGCCGCGGTGCAGGTTGAATACAACCCATGGGACTTGGCCATCGAGAACGAGGATGGCACGAACCTACTTGCTACTTGCCGCGAGCTCGGCGTCGCCACTGTGGCCTACTCGCCGCTTGGGCGCGGCATCTTGACTGGGCAGGTCAGGTCTACCGAGGATTTTGCCCCGGATGACTTCCGCCGCATACTCGAACGTTACAACAAGGAAAATTTCCCAAAGAACCTGGCGATTGTCGACAAGTTCGCGGAGATCGCCGAGACGAAGCATGCCACGCCCGGTCAGCTTGCACTTGCGTGGCTGATGAAGCAGGGCGACGATATCATTCCTATCCCCGGAACAAAGAGAGTCGAATATCTGGAGGAAAATATTGGTGCAGCCCGGGTGCAAGTCACAGACGAGGAGGAGAGGGATATCAGACTCAAGGTAGACGAGGCTGGCGTCAGAGGAGCTCGGACTCCGCAGGGTCTTTTGAATGTATATGCAGACACGCCCTCTCTCTGAGTCGGAGACCAGACTCCTACTTGTATGCCAGCAAGATGAAAGTAAACACACACCCAATTAAGCGAGCAAACCAATCAAAACGATTCATAGCTTACATGTGTCCTTGCGTATACCGAGACTTGAGAAATCCCCTGTGGTCGGGCATAGAAGGGATGATTGGTACACAGCCGGGCCCAAGGGTAAATTGATGAAGAAAACGGATCGAGTCTCTCCACCACAACAAATGAAGTGTCCATTAGCAGCGCTTAAAATAGGCTGCTCTCGGGTTATCAGTCGCCGTTCTTTGCAGCGACGTTCCCGTACACTAGGCAACCGGTCACCGGTCACAATTGACTGAATATTTCTCTCATAAGACTAAACCTCCTAGTCACATACGACGGCTGTTCCCCGTCAAAACGCCTGGGCTTGACTTTACCAAAACAGGAATGCATGGCGTTGCTCGGTACTCCTACTCACGAGCCGCTAGGCCGCTGCCGAGGATAGATCCGCCGTGACAGAAAGACGGCCGTCGTCGCACCATGGGAAACCTTCCCAGGCGAAATCGGCTTGGTGTCGGCCAGGATCGCTGGACTTGTCAGTTGGCGGTGTGTGCTGTACTTTTTCACCTTGATCACGAAGTATTTGCTGATGGAGTGCGAGGTATATCTCTGGGTATATAATATATACAACTTGAGTTTCTCGTGGCCGTACCTTCACTTCGCCCTCATATCTCGTAGGGGATTGTTCCGAAAACGAGGCTTTGCATGGGAGTATCCATGCGCCTGGCTTGCATGTAGATCGTGAGTTGATTCTAGTCCAAGTAGTGGTTATGTATTGCTGATTGACGAGGCTCGGCTCCATGGCACGGCCACTAAGCCCCATTTAGTTATCGACGGCTTTCTCAGTGCTCCAGTCCCAAATGAGAAAGGCTCAGTCAAATTCGGAAGGCTCTGCGGTCTCGAGGAAATCACTGAACCCATTTAGGAATGGATCGACCACGGCATGAGGCGCTTCCTGTCAATCATTCTGTTGTTTCACGCTGGCTTCCAGGACGCGTCTTCACCTGCTTCACCTGCGGTCAAGTCGTTGTAGGATCAAGAAGAGCACTCCGTCGTAGTATCTTCCGAGACATATTTTCATCATATATGAGTTCACATGTAGGTCCACAACCGGTCATGCTTTCCATGGTCTGAAACGTGTAGTTTGAAAAGTCGTCATTAAAGAACGTCTTCACCAAGCTCATGATCGCTTCACAATGTTGTATTTGTATAGGAACGCTCTGGTCGGCAAAGGCTTCCCACATTTCAGTATTGAGGGTCAGGCAAGGAGTCGGCGTATCTTAAATGTGCCTCCTCGCTCCTCATATAGCCCCTACTTATATTGGCCTTGCCTGGCAATATTTGAATTTGGACATTTGAAAACCCCAGCCAATTCCGGAAATTCTCTTATCCGTGGCGCCTTTTCTGGACTTGCCGCCCCCTTAGTTTCTTCTCATTGGACCATCTTGCCGACGGTGTGCCTGAAAAGGTCAACGGCATGGATGAGGCAGAAGAAATCGACCCGGCGCTGATCATCACGACTCGCTGTCTAACTGGGCTCGCACTCGTGTTTCTACTGGCACGGTTATCCGTCCAGGTTGTCAAGCGATGTGAGATACGGTGGGACGGTCTTACGTTGACCGCATCATGGGTAAGTCCCTCCAATCTCAATGCTGATTCCGATCACGAAAGGAGGGATTGAGCAGTTATGTCTGACCTTCATTTCAGATATTTCTAGTAGTCGGAGCTACACTGATCGATGTCGCTGTTGATCTTGATTCCGGTGCGCCTGGCACCAACTCTTCTGGCCATGCTCGAAACGAACTGCTCGGAGGGCTGGCCAGATTATCCGTTGTAGTTTCAACTGCTCTCTCCAAAACATCCTACGGCTTGATGCTTTTGCGCCTGATGGATGCTTCACTGCCTCTACCTCAAGCAAACTCTAGCATATCCGATGGATCGGATATCAACCGGATAAGCCAAACAGAAAGCAGGGCTTCAACGGCTTTCTGGCACGACCGGGGAAAGCCTGAAGATGTTGAAATCACGAAGATTGCATATAAGACGCGGCCCAGTCTCGCACACACTCCGGCAGTTTCCTCGGGGCCAAAGAACGATTGGCACGGACACACATGGTCACGCGACCTCCCAGCCATGCCGCACGGCGATATGAATCGCAACACTGCGGAAAAGCTCCAGGTTGGCGCTGGCGCCCCGAACTCAGCAGCAAGAAGTTCGAAAACGAGCTTGTTTTAACGCACCTGGAGCACCATATCATCCGCGCTGCAAGACCTCGAGCCGGTAGGGGCGCATCGGCGAATGGAAGCCGCACTGCGTCGTTTCTCTCGGCCCTACACGCCGAGTGTTTACAGCAGCCGGACAGAGGACGATGACAGCGCCTCGACCTTCACAATGAGATGGGACAGCAACCACATTATCAGCCGTCTGAGTGATATTGTTGAAGAGTCATGGAGAGACAGGAGCATACTGAAGACACCTGAGCCAGGGGCTCTCATCTACAGCACGGAGAAAGAATGTCCTCCATGTAGGGGAGGCAAAAGTGACTGGGACATCGAAAATGGATCTATGATTTAGATACAGCGTAAACTTCCACAACTTACTTGGTAGAGGCATTGGGCACATCCACGGGTTGCATATAGATAGTCAAGTTCCTGGCTACGCATGCTTCTGGTAGATCAGCAGAGGTGGCCATATTTACAGTCGCGATGATTACAGCATCGATAAAATATACAATAGATAGAATAAGCATGGATTTGAGGTCTTTAGTTTCTCGTAGACTGCTAGCTGGAAGGTATGGGAAGTGGACCAACGTATGGCATAAGTTCCACAAAGACTCCAGAGGTTTGGGCTGTACCCAGAAGTTGGTGGAAGGGCATATCTGAGATCTGTCACCTATCAAGTGGGTAGGTAGATCCGGATCGATCGGCGTCCCATACTTGTCGGTTGCATTGTACTGCAGTGTCCAGGATTGTTCTCAGGCTGTGAAAACACGGTGGAGAAAGATGGCGGAGAGAGACGTAATAAAGACCTAAAATAGTAGCTCCGATATGAGAACAATTCATTCCCGCCCGGCAAAGAGACCTGAGCTGGATCAAGGTCTTCACAGAAGCCGTGGAGGAATAACGCAAGGCGGCAAGTGGTGTGTTACCCCAGATCGTGACAGTGTCGATCGAGAGAAGCAAAAGCAATGGCCAACACCTGCCACTAGACCCGGAGTCTGGCGAGTTCCCCCTCCCCCCTCGCTGATGCACAACAGCCCGCCGCAACTCTGCCGCATGGCATCATGTGATGGACTGGATAGCGACGCTGTGCCGGGCTCGTGGCGGTACAAGTAGCGCTGGAGCACAACCTCCGTAGCCATAAGTGACAGGGACAGGGCACAGTACCCGGTCCCGCGGGCCTGAACAGTCCGAGCCTCACCTGGGCAGCCTGCGAAGCCAAAAGGCCGTCGTCCGTCCTGTCTCGTGCCCCCTCCCCTCTCCGCTCCGGCCAAGCTGCCGCCGCCCGTGGCGTCCAGACGACGGGACAGTGCATTCCGGCCTTAGCCACAACCCCCATCCATGGTCTCGTGCGTGGAACCGTCCGTCTCGGGCGCTCCTCCCCTCGACCAACGGCGTGCGTGCGGCCAGAAGCGGGCGTTCTCTGCCTGTTCCACTCGCTTCGGGCTTCCCCAGAAACCACAACCCAGCGGATAGGCGCAGCGACGATCGTCCGTCCCTGCAGGCGGTCGCCATCAGGCGCGACACCCTCCTCCTGATCTTTTTCACCGTGGAATGGTGGACATGGTAACCCGCCGGAAAAGAGACACTCGGGAGTGACAGAAACACACACACTTTGGCGCCGCCACCCGTTTCTCCCGCTGCTGGGTTCTGTTTGCAAGTCTGGGGGCCAAGTCCCCAGAGAACGGGACCCGGAGCGCTTCGGGGTTGGACATGGGCGCACATAGTGAGGGGAGAGGAGTCGGGGGGCCACGGTGAAACCGCCACAGCGGCGGGTTGCAGCCCAGGCCAGTCACCGCCATTACCGGCTCCGAAAACCTCGCTCCGGGTGCTCAATGATTGACTGGCCTGTGGTTAGTCTCTGCAAAGATCGGGCGGGGCATGACCGCTCTCAAGTGCTACACCCGTCCATGTTATCACAGCTCACGATCGATCTTCTCCTCGGATCATAGGGCTGGCGCGTTGGGACGACGAGTATGTGCGCAATTAGCAGTGATTACATATGCATGCAGTCGATACCCTGCTTAGACTAGCCAGGCCATCCATCCATCCCTTCCGGTCCGTCAGACTCTGTCAAGATCGTCCAGATGTGGCAACAGCAGGTGGCTCTCATAGCCACGTCAAGCAGGCTACAACCACCCGGGCATGTGTCGTGCCTAGTCAGCTCAGGCTGTGTATGTAGTTAACAACTCCAGACGGCCACGATTGTGCAGCACATAGCCGCCGTGCCTCAAGGCTATCCACCGGACAGCGCTGTCCAGCAACGAGACCTACAGCTGCAGTCTCACTTCAGGTCCGCTTGCCCCCAGAGACAACACGCACACTTTCAAATAGAAGTCCACCAGCCACTGCTTCTATGCGTACATCTGCATCGCACCCCCCCCCCCCCCCCCCCCCCCAAACCCAAGACAAAGCCACCTGGGCACAGAGCGATCAGGTGCCAATGGGCGGGCTTTTGGCCGTCTGCCGGCACCCGGCGGCCACCACCACCACCGCCGTACGCACTTAGATCTTGTCTATCTATCTAGCTAGCTAGCCAAGGTAGATCGTCGTCATCTTACCATCCTGGGAATGCAGCAGGCACTGCCGAACGCTCAACACATGCGCCTCCACCCCGCCGGGCCTCTCACCTTGTTCCCCACGCCCAAAGGCGGCCCCAAGTGGCCCACTCCCAGCGCACGCCACGTGTTTCAACAACAGACATGGCACCGCTTTCGGGTCGGTCCTCTGCATCATTCTGTTTCCTCTCTCTTTTTTTGCTTTCTGCGCCAACCGTCCGCCACAGTAGGAAAGGTGGAAGCCAGAAGGGGGGCCCTCGTCTAGTCCTGCCTCTGGCCGGATTCTACCAAGCCCCCAGGGTGCCCTTGGTCTTCAATTAGGCGAATGCCAGCTTGTGTGTGTGTGTGAGAGAGAGAACCGTCCGGCTGACTGACCGCCTACCTTTGCGTAGTGCTTGTCTTCCCAAGTTGCAGCCCAACCTTTGTAAAGTCATGAGCGGCGGTGACCACCGACAACCGACGTCCAGTACCACGGATGGAAAGCCACAGGTATAGTTTCGGCCCAAGGCGACATACCATGTACCGTAAAGCTGTCGTTTGTTGGATCCAATTCGACGTCTTTTGCCGTATTTCGCGCCTGCTTGGTTGGGTACATGCATGTCACTACTGAACAGCCAGCAACCACCATAAATAGGTATACTAGTGGATCGATCGTACACATTATCAGAACATGTACATGGCTAGGCATCTGTGTTGGACACCACAAGTTGTCCTGCTTGGCCCAACATCGGGCTCCCATCCTTTGCTATGCTGTACCGGGTCAGGGATGCCTCTTCCCTGGTCCCTTCCCACCATTCCTGTGCGCCGTGGCCCCGTCTTTTCATTACATGTTCCTCCCGTGGAACTTTTTGTGTACCCGCCACATTGTCTATCCCAAGGACCGTTGGTACTCCACGCCGACAATAAGGAAATTGATGCGTACATGTGATGTACAGCGCAGGAGGCTGCCTTTGCCCCCCCATCGGTGACTCCCAGTATATATATATATATATATCGATTAGATAGTGAGACGCGTATGCGATCCTCACATTCCCGGACATGCTTGAAAAGGAAAAGGAAACGTCGTGGGAAGGAATGTCTCTCTTTGCTGCCCCTGCCCGGCGCCATGAGGCGCCCGGTTCTGTTGTCAGCTCGGGCCCGGCCCAAGTCCGTCTGTATCTGTTGAAACCAGACCGCCACTCTGTCAAAGTCCTTGTGCGCCCCAAAGTTCCGCAGGCATTGGCTTCTGCTCCTCGCACTGGCGCCATTTGTATGGCATTGGCTCAGGCGCACGCCTTTCCTGATGGCCCAAGTCAGGGTGCAGTACCAATCCCAGATTATGAAAACAGTTATGCTTGTTGAAAGGCCAGTCTCGGAGCAGGAGGAACTGCCCTTATTGAGAAGTAGACATTGAGATTCTAGAAAATAAACATTCATGAATTAGATGAGAACATGTCAGCCTTGGCCAGATCGGCTGGCCGGTAAGAGATGATAAACGCGTGGCCGATATGACAAGGCGCAGGCAAGTAAGCCTTTTGCAAAGGTCCCATGCACAGTCCGGTAGATTGGGTACTGCGGTTGGCATTCGGATGAAAGGAGAAAATGTCGGGTGCAAGAATCGAGGTTTCGCTGTGATGATGATGCTAGGTCGTGAAGGTCATGAAGGTCGTCAAGGGCAGCTCTTGGTCGCCAGGTAGGGCGAGGAGGCTTTTACTTCCTCAGGCCAACCTTGCCAGCCAGGTTCTTCCAGAATTTCTTCGCGCCGTTCTCTGCCTCGGAACCCGGGTCCCGGACCATGACAGCGTCACGTACCATGGGGCCAACAATGTCCTCGTCCCCCAGATCAGGAAATTTGCCTTCGGCGTCCAGCATCTTGGGGATGGCCGTCGGGGTGTCGTCCTGCAGGCGGTCCCACCGGAGCTGTGCTTCGCTCCCTGGGTTCCGGGAAGCGACGCGATCGAGCAGGCTGTCGTGCGCGTTCTTCCATTCCCGCTCGGTCTCTGCCCACTTTGCCTCGGTAAGAGCGTAGGCCTTGGAGGTTGTGCCATAGTGTTCGCCGGTGCGCACAATGTGCTTTGTGTAGTTGATTCTGGCCAGGTCCCAGTCCGCGCGGAGGGTGCGAAGAGTGTCGAAGTCTGCGGCCTCGGGATGGTAGGGCCGGGGCAGGATGGTGTAGTTGGCATGTCCTAGGCGGTCGGACCAGGCGTCGTGTTGTTCCAGCAGGTGAGGGATCGTGCAAACCACGTCGCTCGTGGCAACCACTGGGGAGGACAGGCTCGTCAGGAGGGGAGGCCGAAAGGAGGAGAAAGACGGCTTCGTGCTCAGCGGCGGTGTCGAGTAGACGACAGGGGAGTTCAATTCCGAGCCTATCTGGGGCGCGATAGTGGGCGACTGGAGGGGAGAAGGTGCGCGCGATTGTGTCTGCGAGGAGATGATTGAAGGAACCTCAGTCATCAGCGGCGGCAGTAGAGGAGTGGTCGCAAGGGCGCGCTCCCTCTCTATGCTCTGTCGCGCGTTTGCCCTCTCGATGTCGATGCTGACAGCACTAGGGGCTGGTATGCTCTCGGTGCTTTCGAACTCGTAGAAGGACAGGGCTGGTGTGGGCGGCAGAGGGGGCTCGTTGGACCGGTCTACAAACTTCCGGCTGGGGGCCGACAGGGAGGATGACCGGCTCGTCGAGGTGGCCCGGGATAGTGCGGGGGGCAGGTCGAGGGAGGGCTCGGACGCGGCCGTAAAGGCCCTGTGCCTCCGCTTTGTCGACCTCCAGCGGTTCAGAGTCGGGAAGCGCGAGCCGAGTCGCATGGTGAGACCAGAGAGGGGCGAATCAGCGCCATTGCGCTTGGAGGGGTGGAGGGTTGGATCTTGGTCGCCGTCGCTCAGGAAGCCCATGTCGTATTCGAAGCAGGCCAGTTCATTGTCGACGGGGTGAGACCAGTCGGCGCTGTGGACCATGTCAGAGTTTTGGTGGATACACGGCGAGTCACCTATTTGCAACCGAGGTCAGCCAGGGCGCACACAGTGGTTTGGGGTGGGAAGCAGGGTGTCTCAAACGCCCTCCCCGTCTCCCGGCCGAGTGGGAAAGACCAGACTAGACGTACACAAACAGTCGTAGAGGCTGCCCATCTGGTCGTCTGTGAGCATGGTCATTGCAGAATGGCGGTCGTCGTCGCCGTCGAGGCCTCCGTCGCCGTCGCGCTCGAGCGGCTCTTCCTGCACATCTGGCAGGAGTCTCTTGGCAGTGCTCGTGTTGCTGCTGGCATTGTGCGAGGTCTGCTGGAGGGGCTGGGCTGGTGAGACGGGGCTGTCGGAGCAGGTCGAGGAAGCAGCTGCCTGCAGGTCGAGGGACGAGGTGGAGCTGGCGTATCGCAGGTGACTGCCGCCGTGGTGTGAAAAGGTAGGGGTCAGGGGCGAGGTGAGGTCTGACGCCGACGAGTTCGAGTTTGGGTTGTAGTAGACGAAGGACTGGTCGCGAGGCTCGTTGTGCAGCGAGACAGGTTTCTGGTGCGGGTGCAAGGACGGTGTCTGCTGCTGCTGCTGTTGTTGTTGATATTGGTGTTGCTGATCGTCATGCTGATCACCATGTTCGGACTGGCCAGGGTAGTTGTGACCGTGGTGGAGGTGATCAGAAGAATCCTGGTGCGGTTGCTTCAGCCAGGCCCCTCCGTCTGCTGGCAGCGACAGATCTGCTGGCCGTGGTCTTGCAGTAGACATTATGAATAGGGCCCCCGTGGCCGAAGGACAGGCTGGTTGCCTTCCTTGGTGTGATCGTGGCAGGTTGTGTTTTCGTGGTTTGGGCGGGTTTCCCTCGTTAGGTTCTTTCCGTATGGCGTCCCCAGCTTCTGGCTTCCTCCTCTGGCGCGGCAAACAAACACACGGCTCTCTTCGCTTTCTTTCTTTCTTTCTCCCTCACTCGCTCGCTCGCTCGCTCACTCCAACTCGAACGAAACACGATGCAGAGGGGCGCTCAATTGTGGCGGCGATGTTGGGCTGTCGGGGAAATCGTGGTGAGAGGAGGGAGGTGGAGGTCGGTCTTGGACACAATGTTGTGCTGTCGCGTGGTATTATCTTGGGGGGGGTAGGTGGGGAGGTGACGAGCTTTAGAAAGTTCTGGGGCGGGCTTTTGGTTGGCGGGAGGTGGTCGAGCTCAGGGATCAAAGTTTCTGGATGCTCGCCGGCCGTTGGCTGGTGGGGTCAGTGCGGAGCGTTGCGGTGGGTGGAAGACGGCGGGTCGGAAGAGCAAGAGCGATGGGACCCCCCTGGCACTGCCCGAGTGGGTAAAAACAGGAAACGGCCCAACCTTGCAGGTCCTGGAAAGCTTTGCTAGGGCGGGTGGGTACTCCTGGCAGTGGGCGCTGGACAGGGAAGGTCCGACCTCGACCTTGGGAACGGCAATCGCAGCAGGGCATCGGGCATGTCCCCAAGTACCTACTCCAAGTAGGTATCTACATAGGTATCTGCACCTGCTTGTAGTGTGGTACCGCGGAATAGGCTGAGCAGCACGGTACAGTAGCGCCGTGCAGCCGTTTGAGCTCCGTACCTGGGTACCCAATGGACTACGGAGTGTGTGTAGACCACCCTGACCACTAATGCAGTTGCACGCTCGCTCGCAGTTGCCCCTAGGGCCGTCTTTTCCTTTCCTTCTCTTCTCTTCTGCAGCAGTCTCTCCGCGCTCTAAACGGTGGCGCCTAGGCCCGAAAGGGGGCGTTGCCGATGCACGGATTGGCTGCGCCAGAACTGCCCGGGGTGTCTGGAAGGAACAACCTGGACCTGGCCTGTCCCACTAGAGGACGCTTGCTCCTGCCTGCTGTTGCTGTTGCTGCTGGTGTTGGTGTTGTGTTGGTGTTGTGTTGGTGCTGGTGGTGAATTGCAGAGCGGGTACTGAGGCTGGCTCGCAGAGTCGGAATTACGGCATGGACAGGAGACAGAAGGACGGAAGGGAAGACGGAAGGACGAGGGACAAGGAAGGAAGTCGAAGTCTACGATTCAATCACACTGTATGTAGTACCACCCAGGTTCATGAGCTAGACTGCCCAGGTAGGTATGTATGTAGTCCAGATACATGCGGTGCTGGGCCCCTCGCCTACTCCTTCCGTCATCCTGCTTTCAACACGCCGGCACATGCTGTGTGTGCCACGGCAGTCGATTATTACAGTATGCACACAACAGACAGCCACCAAACTGCATCCTGCATTGCAAAGTCCGGGTCAAGGAGGGCCAGAGAGACACGCAGGCGCGATGCGAGGCAAGGGATCGTGACGTGACGCCGGCAGAGACTCGATTGGAAACAACTTCAACAAGTTGGATGCCACCCCGAATACCGCCAGCGCGACGTCCTCTTGCTTACGCCCTCACCATCGATCCTGGTCCAATCGACCCGACGTTGCAGTGCTGCTGCCGTTCTTGTCTTCCTGACATACAGTACAGCACACAAGCCGACGCCCAACTGATCGGATTGCCAGACTGTTGTTGTCCAGGGGCCTGGTAACAAGGATAATTGGCACTTTTGTCCGAGTTCCCCTACGGATTCCAAAGTACACACACATGTCCCGCCATGACTTACTTGATCTGTGGATTATTACATGGGCATGCTTCAGGACCCATCCAAGATCATGTCAATGGGGACTGGTTTGGGGACAGGTTTCTGGTCCGGAGGGTGTTGCCGTGTTGTGGTGTGGTGTGGTGTGGTATGCACCCGTCCCACTCTGCCCCAAGTCCTTGCCATGCAGTCGTCGTCGTCGTCTCAAAGACGGCCAGGCAGGTTGTAGGTATGTCCAGCACGACGATGCAGCAATGCGCTGGCCCGGGGTGCCAAAGCCGCAGAACGGGAAGCCAATCGATTTTTGTTGAACGTCGTGGTTCTGCCACGTGAAGCATCTGGACGGGAGGTGGTGTGACTGTGGGTGGGCGCGACCTGTAAACTTTTGCTGCTTAGGCACCCTGCATATAGCACTACTTTACTATTGCAGGGCAGGCCCACGCATGTTTCGTGCGTGCCTACTTTCTATCTTCACAGTAGCTGATGCTGTGTGTGTTGCGCACCGCATTGCTCACCACGAAGCGAAGCGATAGGGCATTGTGCGGTAGCCAAGAACATGTTTCCTGCGCACCCCAGACGTTGACACTAAGTGCAGCAGAAGCTGCTGAGGTGGCTGGGACTGCTGGGGGATGGTGTGGATGTTTGAGGGGGGAAGGGGGGGTGAGCACGCATACACTGCATACAACAAGTTTGGTGTGTGTGGTGTCGGCGCGGTGCGGTGCGGCAGGATTGGGAGCCCGATGGCATGGTGTGAGCGGGAGGACGAACTAGCTGACTGGCTGACTGGGTGGTGGCTGGCTGGCTGGCTCGAGGAGTCTCGCCGGTCAACAAGCCCATAGGCCATGGGATCCGCCATCCCAACCTTGAGGGCAACATGGACGGACTGCCAAGCAGCCAAGCCACGTCTTGCCCCGAAAGAGTGACCCTGATCCGGCTTACAAACAACATGACTGTGACTGTAGGCGAGGGGATTTCGCTCAGAGGCAGGCAGGTTGGGCTAGCAAAGCGTATGCAGGCTGGTAGGCTGTGGTGTTGCTAGTGTCTACACTCTAACTTTTTTCTTTCTTTTTTCTTTTTTTCCCCTGGTCCTTCTTCCTGTCCATTCTCCCACAGCATTGTTTGCAGTAGTCGGTCTGGAGTGGCAGGAGTGGCTGGTAGAAACATGGATTCTCATCCGGTCATTGGATGGCTTCAGGCTAGTAAGAGAGAGTGTGTGTACTGTGGTATGAATGTGAGTCTGAGTCTGAGTCTGAATCTGCGAGAAGAGATGCATGACGGCGCGCCTGGCAAATCGTCATTGCTACGCTCTGGTCCTCTGGATCGTCGTCAAGGAAATGCCGCTACCGCCCGGGCTACTGCACTCCTGCGCTACGATTACCCGCAGCGTTGCGCGAGTGAGCGAGCAAGCGAGGGCTGAGGCGTGTCGCCGCCTGGCGGGCCGCTGGGGACCAGGCCGGCGGCCCACGTTTTGTTGCGCGCGCCTTGGACGGGACGTTGAGCTACACTGGGCCAAGAGGCTCTGGGGTGTTGGGTCTTGTCGTCGTGAAACGGCCGTTGCTCGTGACAGGTTTTGCGGCGCGCTCTACTGCGTCTAGTCTGTTGCGTCTCCAACCTACTGCCTCCTCGTGATGTTCAAGTGCCCTTGCGAGCCGACGGTTGAAACACTGGCACAGGCAGAGAGCGATGACGAAGCAGGAGCTGATGAGAGTGTGCAGGCACGCTGGTGGGTCAGGCTGTCTCACCACCCTGTCAGCCTCTCGAGCTCGAAAAGATCATGGCGACCCAGGGGGCTGGGCAGACGGCATTGGGCAGTGGGGCAGTGGGCCAGGTGGGAACACTTCTCTCTCTCATCGGCCTCAGCCCTGGACCTGGGCCTGGACCTCGGTTTCCTTTTCGCTCTTCGCCTGCTGTGACCCTGCCCCCCTGCCTGTTCCCTGCCAAGGGCCACGAGAGGGCAGAATTGGCTTTCCTGGAAGCCTCCAGCCTCTGCGGCGAATTGACTCGGGATGCCGGACGTCGTCAAATGCACAATTCAAGGTTTTCCCAATTGGGTTGCCGTGCAAGTGCTGCGCTGTGAAGGCCGCAGTGTGTGTACTGTGGGTGTCTTCCCACATCTTGATGTATGTAGATATTTTGACACTGTAGACTATTATGTGCCTGGAGGGAAACCGCTGCGCCTGTCCAACATCGGTTGAACAGGGACGTAATCGGGTCAGGAACACGGGATGAGGGATTAACATGAATATCGGCGCCCCACAAAGTACACGAGCTACAGACTGTCAAGGCCTGACAGATGTCCACGCCAATGTACCAGTCTGCCAGGCTGTTGGCGCAGGCTCCGGCTGCAGTCCTTTCCCGTAGTCATGGCGTACAGTAATAGGCTGCTAGGATGCGCAGAATGTGCAGGAATGGCACAGGCTCAGGGGCTGAGAATTGATAACCAAGCGCAGGCCACGGCAGCGTTCGGGTTGACAGGACCGCGGACAGGGAACACAAGGTTGACGACGAGGATGATTGCTGCAGCCACAGATTGACCGACGGCCTGAGCACCGTGGAGTGATATTAGACAAGTACCCACCTACCTCCCTTAGTAAGTTGAGTTGCCACAGCACTCACCAGGGGTAGATGCTATGGTACTTCTAGGGAATGGTGCTCAGGCAGGTCAGGGTCTGGGCAGAAAGCGAGGGAGAAAAAATAAAATAAAAAAATAAAACCACGTCGTCATTGCAGACTGAAGAGGTGTGGGTGCCAGATCATCTCAGAGGAGGAGAAATGTGAAGAATTTTCTCACGGATGTCTGTCTCGTTTCAGCTAGCAAAAGAAGAAGGCCTGCGCCTGGTGGGAGACAGGCATGGCAGACGTGATGAGAATGACATCAACTGGTTGCCAGCTATTTTGATCATCAAGGCCTGGAAGAAGCTTTGGTGCCAGGAAAAGAAGCACGACACACACACAGTAAGACTGACTAAGTGCATGTGCATGCCACCAGGCAGTCCGTACTGGGCAGGATGATAATAATACACAGTAAGTAATACAGGCCTGGCAGGGAGGAAGCAGTGGACGAAGGGAAGGGAGGAGGGGAGGATGGAAGAGGACGTGGGGACGAGAGGTCCACAGCCAAATTCGGAAGGGTCGACCCCGAGCCTGGGCCGTGCTGGCCCCTGCCCGGTCCCCTCCTCGTTCTGGGATGTTCTGGGCAGGGTCGAGAGAGATCCGTGGGACTACTCGATCCGTAGGATCCTGTTGGCCGGCATCGATCCCCGCTGCCCCACCAGCGGCAGCATCACAACGCTTTTGGGAGACAGGACTGCAGTATCTGATTCTGGACGTCCTCTTGGGGCAGGCTGTCCAACTTGGGCCTAGTCTCCCTGCCTGCATGCAGGACAAGCTCAAGCTCCAAGGACGTGCCTGATCAACCTCTATTAGCCTACTTAGTAACTCCTGTGAGCAATTGCTGTGCTCCTACAGGTGTGGAAGCACCACAGCAGTCTCCAGTCAAGCAACCTGCTCCTGGGTTGTAGGTACGTATACACAAACAGTGACTGCCTTCCTGCAATTCAGACCGGCTGTGCGTCATGCTGAACATGTACCCACTACGACCTGGTGCCTTCCGTCATCACCGGGCCTCTTGGTGTCTGTCTTCGCGGACGGGCAGACGGGACACCGACTTCTCGTGCGACTCCTTCCGTCCGTGACCAGAACTATTCATTTTGTCTTGTTCTAATGTCATCTCAAGTCTGATGTGTGCACGGCTGTGCCTTGGTAGCATGTTTCGTTTGGTTTCGTTTCCCCCACCAACAAAACCTTAAAAGGTTTGTCTTGTGGGCGATTGACTGACTGACTGATCATTTTGTCAGCCTCGGCCTCAGCCTCAGCTCCCCATTGCCAGCCATCAATGGTCTACTACCTGCCGTGGCTCACCACCACTGTCTGCTCTGCCCCAGTTGGTGGCAGCGCAGTCTGCAGAGCTGGCACCTCCGGATCCCACCCAGGCGGGCCAAGCAAGCAGCAGTGACCCCCCAAAAGACGACACCTTGAAACAGACGGACGATCCACACGGCCAGGACAGCTGGAGCTTGCTGTGCTCCGGTGACACGGCAGCTGCACGCAGCACGCAGAAGGCAGCAAGCAACAAGCAGCAGCTGCCTTAGCTCGGCCATGTTGTCTCTGGGCAATCCCAATCAGACTCGGCCATTGGGCTACGCGGCGGCCGGAATGTGGTGACAGCGTGCGAGCGCAACCACAACCATTTTGGCTCTTGTGTCCCGTCACTCATCCCCCAGCATCTCACCCCGCCGTCCCTGGCTCCGACCTTGTCGTCTTACCAATATACGCCTGCTCCAATCTCCCCAATCTCTCGTCATCCCCGTCCCGCTCCCGTTCCCGCCCCTGCTGCTCCGGCCCGTCTGCCGTATTCCATCTGTTCGGTCCTCTTGTTATCATCCCCCTCTGGTGCACAACAACTTGGGGCACACGATGACACACGCTCGCAGGCTGACAGGCTGACATGTTCGCCTGGGCTGCCCTGCTCTGCTCGTGGAGCTAGGGTCAGGATGTCCGGCACGACCACGGTTCCTCTGCATACTACGTGTCTTGCATCATTACCGCTTTCGATCATTGTCTTGGGCCTAGTCACTGCTGACAGACGGGCAGACAGCATGTCGCCACGCCGCCAATGCCAGCCATGTGTTTCCTCGGGCAAACCCATCATCCATCCCCTTTTTGAGAGAACGCCCAACGCCCCGGCCAACCATATCGAAGTGGTCAGGCTACCCTGCACCTTCTGGGCCTTTTTAGCCGGGTCCTCCTAAGCCCAGGCGCCCCTCGGTCTCATGTGGCAGCATCGCAGCTCGTGCTTCTCGACAGCCGTGAGCCCGTGTTCACGCCCAGACTCTTCAGCCTCCACATTCACAGTGCAGACGTCCTGGCCATATTGTGCATGTCCTCGAACGGAAAAATCCTTCCCAGGGTTCAAATTCCGCACCGGACTACCTGGGCCGTGGTGACGGGCTACTTAGAGCTTGTGACGTCCGAGCCATTAGCTTTATGCGCCACGAAACTCGACGGAATAAGTGAATACCAAATCTTCCGCAGCGACAAAGCTGACTCGACGGAACGGGTTGAGAAGCCAGCGGAGGGGATCCGAACGAAAGGTCTTCCTGCTGTGGCACACTAGATTAGTACGTGCCTGGACTCTTCAGGAAGTGTTGTCGTTGACGAACAAGCGTTCGCCTCGCAGCAAGCTCCGGCCACTCACACCTACCCTCATGCCAGACGATGCTCGGCCACCTGAAGCTTCTCCCCAGGTGGCGAAAGGTGTGAACGTGCTCACATCTTCCTGGCCGAAGTCAATGGGTCACTCACGCCGTCTCCCGCCATGATCCTTGCTCCGCGACCTGCCTCTCCTATGGAACGGCAGCAGTAGCACGCCTAAATCATAGGATCGATCCCCTGGATATCGCACACCACCACGTCAGCTTTCCACTGACCATCTCCATCAAGTGCGAGGCTTACGCCTTTGACGGAATGCTACTCTACCAAGCCCTATGTCGTCTGTCCGCAGCTCCTGTAAGCAGCGATTCGTCTACGAAAATCCTGTCCGTTCAAAAAAAGATGTGTCGTCCCTTGCATTAGTTCCCTTAGTCCACCCTTGGCCCTGTGTAGTGGAGGGCTGAGCAGGCCGTTCATTCGATGCCAACGACTTCGCGCACATGCTCAGAGGCCGCACACCAGGGTTGTGGATGGCCCGGATTTCCCAACCGAGGCCAGAACGGCTTGCGATTGTGGGCCGGCTCGCCTGTGCTTGCTGCCTGCCTCCGGTCAGTCATGCCAGCGGGCGGCACTTGCGTTGCACTCAACCCTTTCTCCCGACCGCCTCGATGACACTGAGGGTCGCATCGTCGATATGGATCGATCGACCTGATGGCCGACGGACACGGAGTGGCGCAAGCGAGGCAACTGTCCCTTGCAGCACTTCTTCCCAACCTCGGTGATTTGCTCGTTCTGGGCTCCCATATGTGCGTCCGACTGTTGGCCCATCACACTAGTCATCGAGACAAAGGTTGCCATATGTCCAGGCATTCAGTGTCCCATTCACTTTGAGGTTACGTGGACAGCCATAGATATGCTTTCGAGGACCGGCTTTCACACCGTCTCAACTGATTCTGGCAGCCAAGCCTGAGATACCCTGCGGCCTCGACCTATGCCTTCATTGCCGTGCATTTTCATACTGCCCTCTAACCTCAACTATTGGCCTAGCTGCAGTGTGGCGAGAGGTTAATCAGCAGGACGGTGGCCCAAGACAGAACCTCAACGGTCGACTGAGGAGAGCCCTGGATGCAGCAGCCATGGCAACTCCCAGTAGCTCCGTCTACGAATCGAGGAAGGCGAGCTGGATGCAACGAGTGGGGGGAGCATTACGCAGACCACTTTGCCCATGCCTAATGGGTCGCGCCGCTGAGGTTTATTGCCGTGGCCGCCGTTATTTGGCTACTAATGGCTGATGACTGCATCCTCTGGTGGCGATGCCCATGATGATCATTATCATCGCCATCTGCCTCTAGTGCCTGCAACATCCACTTGTGGAGCGCATGCATCATGCAGAGGGGCTGTCTCTGTTGCATTTGAGGATGTCCGAAGGGGGGAACACTCTTGATGTAAGCCTCGTGTTGTGCGACAATGTCACTAACCCAATCTCCGAATTGATGGGTTCTCTGCCGGCATTCCGCGCATCACGACCTCCAGTCCCAATGTATCAGGGGAGGTTGCAAAAGCTGGATGCTCTGTCCGGTTTCTGTTGGGGCCCATGAAGCCCGGATGCACACGTTGGGATCACGCTTCAACCAGCCTGACCTGCTAGAACATGCCTGATCAAGTGCGTCAACTCGAGAGGAGCGAAGCGGCTTCCATCCAATTCAGGAATCAGTAGGCCCCGCAGTCATGAAGTCCATGCTTCTGGCTATGATCAGATTTGTCATTGTGGCACTCTCGCCAGCGCGAACAAGTGACAGATGCAGGGCGACGTTGGTCGTTCCTCTCGTGGAAAAACGTGCCCCAACCAGCCAGGCTCGTATTAATCAGTCTTTTTGGTATACTGGTCAGAGTTTGTGTCAAATTCTCCACTTCATGAGTCGCTGGGAAGGGAAAAGGAGGTAATCTTTACAAATATTGACCAAGTAGCCTGCTGGAAGTAACAGAGAATCTTTAGCCCGTTACATAGCTCATGCCGTCTTGGTTGGCTTGGCTTGGACAGACTTTGGATGGTCGAGTTTCAAGAAGGTACACTTGGTGTGCAAACATGGCATGCAAATACTTGTAACCCGTCTTCATGTTGTATGACGATACCTCCGAACTGAGTTTACCAGGTGACATGGCCTTTTCATCCCAGCCTTTGTGAGCATAGCCATCAACTTACTGGCTCTCCTGGTATGGGACTTCGATCCTCTCTATGCTGCTGCGCCTCCGTGTGTTGCGAAATCTTTCCTGTGACTATATCCAGCAGTTGCAGTCACATGCAGATGAGATTGACTGGACACATCTCTGTGGATCAATGACTGCCTCAGGTCTGTCCTTCTCCGGGATGGGCATCTTGTGAAGCTGCAGAGTATACAAGTAATTCACCACCACTATTGATCGCGGACTGTGACCCGGATTCAATGTAGATCCACTCTACCTTGTGATGTGCCCGAAAATGCAGGAATGACAGGCAGTATACTTGACACAGGCGATTACTCTGAATGATGGATCATGATTTCGATTGAGTCTCAGGATATTATTGAAGCCCAGCAAATAAAACAATGGTCTGGAAAGCCAAGTGCTAAACAAGTTACGCATGAGCAGCCCGGGATGGTTGTCCTCATAGATTTGATGTCTGCGGAATATGTGAAGCACAGTGACATGTAAGCAATATCAACAGACTAGAGAGGAGAATGATGCAAACCCTTTCTGGCCTTGCATTATGACTTGATCGCCATTCCGCCTGTAGTTAATTCCACTAGACCTTGAGTCGGGCAACGATTTCTCATAGCATCACTACCTGCTACAATGGTTTTATTCTAGGAATGATGTAAAATATGCTATGTACGTTCCAGCCGGATTCTAGACGCTCCTCAGAATCTCAGTTGCTAGGCTGTTAAGCCCAGATACACAGAATATCATAAAGGTCAATGTTCTATTTAACAAGAAGTGGATTAGAGGGGGGAGAAACAAGTATTCAGATCGAGATCCGGGAGCTTTGATCGTCCCGGCTTCCTTGGGAAGCTCCTCGTCGTATCGGAGTACCAAGAGCTCGAGGGTCGCCGGGTAGGTGGGCAGGACGGTGAAAGGAAGGCCGGCGACACAGAAGGTGGCCCGGAAAGATGGAAGACTGACACAGCTCAGTGTTACTTCGTCTCCAGAATCGCCCTGATCCCATTTGCAAAAAGCAGCCTGGCATAGACAAGGTGAAGCAGCCGGAAGAACGTCGAGTACGGCCGGCCGGCGACGGACTTGCAGCTGACGTGGGAGAAAGTCACCGTAACCAGATCGCGCCCTCCTTTCTCCTCACGGTCATGCTCGCGGGCGACCTCGAAACGATGGGATGATATCAGTTCGAAGGTCTTCGATCCACCCGCTACGAATTCGGCCGACGCAAAGTCCCGTGGACCTTGCGGGCCAGGTTTCGCGGGAGGTTGCTCTGTTTCTCGCCGTGTCGTCGCGTTCGACACACTCTCCGCAAGGAGGAAGTTGCCGAAGAGGAGTGACCCGGAAGGGGGAGGGGCCTTGGCTGAGAGAGCTTCCAGGTCCCAGACCTCCCGTATTGGGGACTCTTCCAAGTTCACATTGTCAAAGCCTGGTGTTTCCGACGGTACGTCCGTCAGCAAAAGAACAACCCTTTTCTCGGCATATTTGATACCGATATGCAAAGAGGAATTAGAACTTTCCGTCGAGATTGGTCACCGAAAGCCTTGTGAGATGAAAGAACCACCGCTCCGGGCTGAAGATCCAGCCCCCAAAGAAGCCTTGTGTGAAACGTGCAAGAATCTCGTTATTGTCCAAGCCAGGTTTCAGTCGGGTGGTCGGGATCTCCATAGTGATTCTATGTTGAAACAGGTCTTGCTTCTGAGGGTTCAGTATGGCCACGGCAGCCGAAGTCTCATGGCCATGTGTTGCTCTAGTCAAATTTCTGGCGTTGCGCGAGGGTAGGTAACGGTTGAGCATAAACACGAGGAAAGCTGAGCCTGAGCTCAGGGTCAATATGGTTGTGTAATAGCGGAGTGCGGCCATGATTTATCCAAGTTTCGATGAATACAATCTCAAACGAGTCAAGGGAAGCAAAATGCTGATGGGCTTCTGTCATTTACAAGGCGATCTTGCTGCTGACACAACATCGTCGACATGTAAGAAACATCCACCCGGGTCCTCCGGTGGTCGACTAGCTCCGACAACTTTGTGGAAGTATAGGTGTGTGTAATTGTGCCGCATTAGCGGCGTCGCTTTTGTTCAACAAACTTCCGATTCCTCCGCCGCGCTCAACCGATCAGCCATGTTTACTGTGTAGTCAACTGGTCCCAACTCCTTCCCATCGTCTTTCTTACCGCATATGTCCTTGTCGGGCCGACAACATAAATAGGGCTCTGAGTTGTGTGGAACGGCCAAGCAACGCGTACGAGGACATTTTACTGGGCAGAATGGTGGCTATATGTGCTATAACATTGGCAGCGGTCCGCACGTTTCTGAAAATGGAGACACCGGCCAGCGGACCAACCCTGCACAGCTTTACAGCACATGACCCGCAAAACAAAGAGAGTTTCAAGCGAGCAGAGATGAGGTAATTGATCATCGTCGTGTTACGCATGTAGAAACTTTCCAGAATGTTGGCTTAGATCGAAAGAGCCTAATAACTCTCTAAATTGAAGACTCTGTTTCCGAAAGTCTCTGGCAACATACGTACCACATTCCTAGAACACTATGTTCTTTCCCCTGTATCAGTCGTCTCGTCCTTTTGCAGTTGCTTTCCAACTGGATGTTGAATAGCCTTGCCAAGGCTTTCCTCGCACACCATGCTCGGTTTTGCTGGGCAGGATCAATGCTTGGGTGCCTTCCCTGTCTTTTAGGATTCGTAGCCGCGTCCTAATAGTCCACATTTCCGCTGATCCGTCAGCCCTACGGCCACCTCCTCACGACAACCGTCTTCATCAGGGAGGAGTTCTCCGTTTGTGCCGCATGTGCCACCTTCATGGTCGCTTAAGAGCACACAGACACTCTCTCACTGTATAGGTCTGCGATGGTGTCATCTCCCAAACTGAGCTGCTCCATCTTAGTTGCTGTGTGGAGGTCTTGGGAGCTGCTCTCATGGCTATTGACACGTCCGAGGCCCCATCGGACGGCGAGGTAATCCGAGGTCCTGATCCACAAACATCGCCCCTTGTACCAGTCTGGTTAAAACCCTGCGTGTTGTTGTAATGATAGTTTCACGTGGGGAAGAGATGGCAGTCCCCTTGTCTAGTGCTTCATTTTGCAACATTCTAGCATTAGCGACGGTGTTGAATATCTAACTCGTGAGGGAGGCAGCTAGACTGTTATTTGCATTTCGGCCGTCTCGTGACAGCGCGGCTACACAAGATTGCATTGGGCTTCAAGTTCCAGACGGCGTTCTGGAAATTCCGAGCCTTGGGTTCCTGCGGCTATAATGCAGCGGCTAAGGGCCCACCGTCCTCACGCCTGCAATCCCACATCTCGCTCGGTATATCATGTCGCGAGATCTGACACCGTTAGCGCGGAGCAGGTGGTGGAGAAGCCTGAATGATCTGGGGACAAGCTTCGGGGCGCCGGGATGAGTCTGGTCTGTGGCGTGCGGAGCTGGGGTAGGCGCTGGAACAAAGGCGTGCAGCAGAGGTCCTGATAGGCTCTGCTATGCTGCGGGCAGGCCTGGCCCCCTCGCATAAACCAACGAGTCCTTTTGACCTGGGGAGCGCTACCAACCGTTTGGGTGGGCTGACCGCCGCTAACGAGAAGCCTCAACCCCGGCAGGAAGGAGATGAGGGACGAGGACGTGACAAACAGACAAATCACGAGGCCTGGGCTTCGGCGCAATGGTCGGTCTTACCGATATGCGAGCCAGGTACTTTGATTGATGGAATGTTGCGAGTCGGATCCTGCACTACATATGGCAGCTGCAGCAACCAACGCGCGCCCCTGTTTTCTTTTAAAAGGTCGAGGCCTGCCCAATCACCCGATGCTCCATTTCCTTTCCCCAGCTTCCCCAGACCCCGAATTTCGAATCCCCAGAATCCCCAGCTCAGCCTCCCCCACACGCTCGCTCAGCGCGGCCCACACCAGCCAACATGAGTGAGCCCACCGACATCAAGGCCACCGGCGGCGCCCCGGAGATCCAACACGCCGACGAGAAGGGCGCCCACCAGATCGAGGACACCTTCAACCTCGACAATGAGGCCAAGCTCGAGGCCTACAAGGCGGCTGCCATGGAGGCAGAGACGGCCGAGCAGAAGTCGGGCGTGCTCCAGGCCGTCAAGGAGTACCCCATGGCCGCCCTGTGGGCGTTTGTCATGTCCTGCACCATTGTCAGTCTTCCACGAACAACTTCAATATGGCAAACGGACTGCTAACACAACGGCTTCGTTCAGATCATGGAGTCGTACTGTGTCTTCCTTGCCGGCAACTTCATCGCCCTGCCCAGGTTCGCAGAAAGGTACGGAGTGTTCAGCGACAAGGAGGGCAAGATGATCATCGAGGCGAGCTGGCAGTCTGCCCTCCAGATGGGCGGGCCTCTCGGTGCTCTCATCGGCGTCCTCATTGCCGGCCCCATCACCAGCAAGATCGGTTACCGCTGGGCCACCATCGGCGGCCTCATGCTCCTGAACGCCTTCATCTTCATCTTCTACTTTGGCGACTCGCTTCCCGTCTTCTTCGTCGCACAGCTTCTCGAGGGTATCCCCTGGGGCATCTTCATCGCCAACGCCCCAGCCTACTGCAGCGAGATCACCCCCATCCAGCTGCGGGCCCCTGCCACTCAGATGCTGCAGATGTTCTGGGCCATTGGCGCCATCATCGTCGGCGGTGCGACCTTCCACTACAACAAGCTCAACGAGGATCTCGCTTATAGGTAAGCTATTCCCCCGCTCCACAAGCAGTCTTTTGTTTGCTAACGACATCGTGATGCAGGGTCCCCATCGCGCTCCAGTGGATGTTCCCAACCCCTCTCGCTATTCTCATGTTCATCGCGCCCGAGTCGCCCTGGTGGCTGGTCCGGAAGGGTCGCCTAGCAGACGCAGAAAAGGCTGTGGCGCGCCTGGGGCGCAGGACGAGACTGAACGCCAGCGAGTCCGTCGCCATGATGCGCCGTACCGTCGACCTTGAGAAGACGATAAAGGAGCCCAACCTGGCTGAGCTCTTCAAGGGCACCGACCTCTACCGTACCCTCATCGTGTGCGGTGTCTACGCGGCGCAGAACCTGACGGGCAACCTCATCGCCAACCAGGCCGTCTATTTCTTCGAGCGTAAGTTGTCCTGCATCCCGGGTGAAAAAAAAAAATGCACATGCTAACCCACGCGCGCAGAGGCTGGCATCGACACGAACACCGCGTTTGCCCTGGGTCTCATCACCTCGGCCCTCCAGATGGTCTTCGTCATGCTCTCCTGGATTCTCACCACCTACCTCGGCAGGCGAACCATCTACGTCTGGGGTTCCCTCATCAACGTCGGCTTCCTCATCGCCCTCGGTATCGCAGGCTCCGTCGGAGCCTCAACAGCGGCCTCCCTGGCGCAGGCGTCCCTGGGCCTCATCGTCTCGGTCCTGTTCACCCTGGGACCTGCGCCCGCCTCGTGGGTCATCATCGGAGAGACTTCCTCCATCCGCCTGAGGCCTCTGACGACCGGTGTCGGACGTGCTGCGTACTACATCGTCAACATTCCTTGCATCTTCCTTGCAAGTTACATGCTCAACCCTGACGTAAGCTCCCCCTCTTTTTCCCAAGTTTACGATGAACAATTTCTGACATGTAGCGTAGGAGGCCAACCTCGGTGGCAGGTGCGGTTACGTCTGGGCCGGCACCGGCTTCGTCTGCTTCCTCGCCGCCTTCTTCTTCTTGCCCGAGATGAAGAACCGTTCCTACCGCGAGATCGACATCTTGTTCAAGCGCAAGGTCCCCGCCCGCCAGTGGACAAAGACTGTTGTCGATATCGAGGCCGACGAGTAGACGGAAACGCTGCTGTCAAGTCTCGGGTACGGCGTCAACAGGAGCAAAGCCTCCACCAATGCTTAACATATACCGCTTGCGGATTGGAGGAGAAGCAGTCCGGTTGGGGTATCCATTCTTTATTTAGCTTTTTAGTGACAAGATAAGATGGCAAATGAACCTCGACAACCTCGAGGCTGTCTGATTATATATTAGCCGAGTAACTGCGTTCCCGCAACGACTACAAAATTCGTGAACTATAATCTCACAAACTGTGCTTTTATGATGACCGGGACGCTTCTGCAGTGTGGGCCTGAGCGCAACTTGTTAATTGTAGTTGACATGAGGTCCCTTTCCTTGGCGTCATATGTCTGTGTGTCACTGCTCACTCACGGCACTGCTTCCTTTCACCACGCTGCTTTCACTGAGTGGAGCAATCGAGGAGTGCCAGACTCAAATTTATAGTACTAATAGATGCGTCCCGGCGGATCCAAAACTGGAGAACAGCCAGAGGAATCTGAAGCCCAAGTCAGAATGCCCACATCAGGAGAATACCTGGACACCTGAAACACACCTGCACAGCTGATTATCACTGGGAGGAGCAGACCGTTATTGAGCACGTTCAGGACAGCCCATAACAACGGCCATGTCTATTGAGCCTGTCTGGCTGATTTGTGAAGTCTCCACCTGCCACACTCCTTGCAGAGGATCTGTAGGTACCAGTCCTGACGTTTCGGCCAGCTATCGCCGTCGGGACAGGGCCCATCAGGGCAGTGTACAACCCAGGGCCGGTAGACTCGATGGCCGCAGAGATAACGGTCGTAAGGGCGGTAGCACATGGGTGGCAGACAAATCGATCTTCTCGGGAGGCGTGCCATTACTTGGGGGCCCAACGGTATTGTTGTCGGCGACGGCCGCCGGCGATTCTCTGCCAGGCAGGGTGGAGTTGAGGCTGTTCAGAGCGGCGGGTTTGGGGGAGAGCTCCTACTATTCAAATAAACCATACGTGGCAGTGACACGTTATACATTGTGGCCACCTCGGTCTCGCCCACTGCGGTTTCTCGCTCAGTGGCTTCTTGGGACCAAGTCCCAGACCGAGTGCTACGTCTCGTCTCAGAAGAGTCAAGCGATGTTTCTGGGCTGGACATCGTCGATGGACAGTGTTTTCAAGCAAGGCTCTGACTCAGAGGCCGCAGCGGCGCAGCTGGGCTGTCGCGATGCTGACAACAATGCTACGAGGTCTTCCCACGGAGGCCAATCTTGTTCAAGAGTTCCGCGATGGCACGGTCTCAGATCCAGTACCTACCCCAGATTGCAAACTCCTCTTTGGTTCCACGGAACTGAAACTCAACCTCGACAACATCCTGAAAGCCCTCGTTGGTCTTGGGTTGCTTGAAGCGACTGGCGAATCCGTTGAACGCGAGCTTCGGCAGCGCGGTCCTCGCCTCGGGATTCATATCCTTGTTCAGGGCCCTGACCGTGTCATTGTGCTCGGCAATGCCCAGTGGCGTCTTGAACCACACACAGCGGATCGGCACACCGGCCGTTCTGGCAAGATCAATCCACTGACCTCGTACCTCTGGGTCTGGGTTCGTATTGTCGACTGCGACTGGCTCCCCATCCTCAAGGTGCTCCCTGGCAGCTTTGAAGCACTTGTCCTTGCTCTTGAGCATGTCCTGATTCACCCTTTCGTAACCTAGGGGTTTCAGGTATCTCCAGTAGAAGGTGCTCTTTCCTGCGCCTGGTGGCCCACAGAACAACACAATGTCCTTGGCGTTCTTCTTCTCAAACACCACGTCTTCCACTTGGCTGTGGTTCGAGACCGTGTAGGATGACACGTCAAAGTCCCTGGAAAACTCCCGGGGCTGCTCGCCGAGGAAGAACTCCTCGGGTGTCTCGTATTTGATGCCGGCGTTGTGGGCGAAGTTGCGATCGGAGCAGCTAAAGTCCTTCGCTATGGCCTTTTTGCCTCCGGAGGCGGGCACGGCGACTCGTCCGCCGGCGTCGCCAACGAAGATGCTGGCGTCCTTGTCGATGTCTTCCAAGTCGTAGTCATCGCACAGCTCGCGCCACATGCCCGTCCTGGGCTTGCGATAAACGTCCCTCGCGGTGGCAGCGTATACAGAGGTGGGGATGTCGAGCTGGGCCAGGACTGCGCTGATCTTCTGCTTGAAGGGGGGGACCCGTTTCGTGTTGTCAGGGCCCTTTGAACCGGGGTCTCGGTGCAAGGAGAGCCCATTCTGGTTGGAGAGGATGACGACACGGTATCCGTCCTGGTAGATGCTTCGTAGCTTGGCCGGGACAGTGCTGTCCCACCATTTCCAGTCCAGAGGGTCGTTGCTGAACTTCTTGCCGGAGGCGGAAGTGATCAGCGTGGAGTCGAGGTCGAAGGCAGCCACTTTCGTCCTCTTCTTGTTTTTGCTGTGCTCCGATGGCTCTTGTGCGGTGTCACTGCCGTCGTAGCGTCCGACGAGCAGAGTGGCAGGCGAGTCATCGTCAGGAGCGCGGTCTGACCAGGAGACTCGGGGCTGGTCTTTCTTCTTCTGGGAGGCGGGCTTGAAGAAATTGGCGACTGCGCCGTCTGGCTCACAATGTCAGTCAAGCAAGCTCGGTGGCCGGCAGCATGGCCCGGGGAGAGCCGGTGCGCCTACTGGTGACGGTGCTCTGGACCTTGCGCTTGACAGGGGGCGGCGAGATGGAGGGGTCGTTGTCGTCGGTTGCGGCAGGGCGCTGTCGCTTGGAGGAGGACATTGTGCAGACGTGCCGAGGCAGGTGCAGGGTTCGGTTGTGGACGACGCTACTCAGGTGTTTCCAGCTGACGAGGTTGACAAGATCGAAGCATTTTCGCCTGGTAGTTAGGTGCATCGACGTTCAAGGAGCATTGAATGTCGAAAGGTCGGGGCGTATCCAACACTGCTAGACTCGGCCAGGCTGGGCACGCGTCGAACGCGTTGAGCAGTGCCTCGGAGGTGAGAACCCTAACCTGAGATTATTCCTGACCCGGGGGGGGGGGGTGGCTGGCCGACTCCCAACGCTCAGAGCGACAGTATGGACCTAACGACCATTCTGAATTCCTTGTATCCCTTGAAGCTCAGTATCCAGTACGAAGATAGACTCAAGTTCACTGTGTTGACCTCCTTATACTGGTTGTTGTCGTTGAGAATTGCTCGAGGGAAAGCTTGGCATGGCAAAGGTATGCAGAGGGAGAGTCGTCTGCAGAGTTAGTCCTGACCCAACAGTCAATAATCTTGGCCCGCAAGGACGGTTAATCAAATAGCCTTTCCAAATAACCCCACAGAGTCGCAGTCTCATTAATTCTATGCATGAGGAGGGTGGGTAGGTGCGGGCATGATCGCCTGTGTGGGAAGTGCCACAACGCGAGGCACGACACACCGCACTCAACATCAGCAGCGCATCATGGGCGGTGCGTGACGCGGAAGCCGAGAACGATATTCAAGAACGGTCAAGATATCCTCGGATGATAGGATATCAGATCCCACCACCCCTCGTCACGCACGTGCCAGTGGAGGAACCTGGAACAACCAGCGCTTCCTGTGAGCCCCATAGCCACAGGCAAGCTTTGTGGGGAAGTCTCGGTATCGAATTCGGCCTCGGAGCAGGTCGCATGCATGTTACGGGCATTTGGGGTACAGATAATAAGGTTGTGTTGGCATGGGATGCCGAGGCCGAACCATGACCGAAGAGGCGGCGAAAACAACCGGTTGTGTCATGCAGGCACATTCATTATTCAGGTCCGGTTGCTGGTGAGGCCCAGATGCCCACTGTGCAGGTAGACAGGCTCGCAAGATGGGACGAAGGAAGCCAGGCAAGCTGCTTCGCTTACCCGACAGTCCGGATTATGGGGAGACCTGGAGGTAAGCGACGCATCTACGGTACAGTAGTCTGGGAGCTCGGGCATGCAGCATTGTAGACCGCGGGGAGGTGATGTGGGGTGGTCTAAAAGCTGTGTAACAGGTGGAAGCCTGACAGCAGCTGGTGGAGTTATGATGGTGAGCTGTGGTATGTTTGCATTATTAGCTTTGTGTGACTGGTGCTCACTGTCGCAGTTTTGTGGTAGATGGTCGACAGACGCCCGGGCCGGCGAGGCTGAGGTTGTGTGCTTGTGGAAGCCTCCTCGGAGCTTCTCAGCAGTGATGAATGCACACGCAGCCAGGCAGTTAATAGTCTAATAAATATGTCTAACAGCTTGTGGGATGTATGCATGGTTCGTTATCGGGCGGATGCGGGGACAAGCGCGGGGCATTGCCAGATCCACGGTGCCACAGTATCATCTACCAGTGCGTTAGCCCCGATTGCCCCCATCCGTGCTGTACAGTAATCTGAATGTGTCTGCGAGTACGTACAGATCTACCTTGCTCGGTACGGACGGGCTGACGGAATGGGACGATGCGTCGTGGGAATGGCGTGGTTTTGGCCCGTGCCTTTGGGGAAGTGCTCAGCATCTTTCCCCGAGGTTCGGAATTTGGAGGGGGTTTGGACGTTTGCGCCTGTGGGTCATGCCAGGGAAAGTCCGTCTCGGTCCCAGGCGCTTGGGGTAGGCAATTGTGGGCAGGTGGGCAAAAAGGGAAAGGAAAAAAAAAGTCAAAGATGCAACTCTGGCCCGGGCTTGGACCAAGCTTGTGCACCCAGCCATAGGCAGGCATGGGTGAAAGTGGCCCCACCTGCACTCGGAATTCATTCACCAGCTCTCACCCGCTATTTCCCCAAATTCCAAAATCCGAAAACCACCCGCGCCGGTTCCTGCCTTTCTTGTGCTCAGCGCTTGTGCTCCTTCCTGCTTGTGACTGTGACCGTAGCCGTGCACTGCCTCTGCCTTAACCTTGGACCCAACCTCCTTCAACTTCAGTCCGACTTTCCTCCTCCCATCCGTCTCGACACTTTTTCTCTTACCTCTTGTCTCTTGCCTTCCTCAACCTACTAGCCATCCTCGTGGTCCTTCTCCGTCAATCGCTTCTTCAGCAGCACTGAATACTCCATCTTAGCTTGTGATTACCAATTCACACACGGGCCGATTTCCAGACGCGACAGCACTCTCGACAACACTCTTCATACGCCCGCGCAAACGCACGACCACGCACCCTCACACACAGCCAAGATGTTCGCAACCAAGGCCCTTCGACAGGCAGCTGCCCACGCCGAGCGTGTCCCTTCTATCAAGTTCATCGGAAAGCGCTCCATTCCCTGTACGTTACCCCTCTATGCTGACCTCCGTCCCTCGTATCTTCCACCCTCCACCTCTGCATGCAAATGCAAATGCCACCGGTCTCTTCGGCATCCACTCCCAAGGCTTCAAGCTGACTTCGTAATTTTCTGCCACAGCTGCCGTCGACCACACCCCTAAGCCTCACCCTGCCAGCCCCAGCCAGTCCCTCCCCAGCGACTTCTCGGCCAACTCCTTCTCCGAGTATCGCCAGCGCTCCCAGCAGTACGGCCCGCTCCAGAAGACCTGGGCCCGCACCAGTGAGGGTGGTATTGGCGGTGCCTCGGGCTCCGCTCTGCCGTCCATCGAGCCCGGCAAGGGCTTTTTCTTCGACCGCGACGAGCTCCCTGCCCGCTTCCGCAGGACCTCCTGGACTGTCGAGGAGATCGAGGCCATCGAGAGCGGTGGCGCTTCCGCATTCGCTTGAGATATGCCCACCGTGGCTATGAATTTGTTGGACTACACCTTTTGAGACCAACACCAACCCCTAGAAGAGCAGCATGGCTATCCCTACGCGGCGGCGAGCATAACACTATATACCAGGTCGCGGCGTCGGCTCGACAGAAGATCTGATTGATCCTATCCGAGCATGTGAGGACGGAAGTGGAGCCAGTCGACAGTGCTAGGAGCCCATAGAGGCTGCTCGCGTCGCCTTCGGTTTGCGGGGTCACCTTGAGATGGCGACCGTACCTACTGTTTTTTTGGACCCTGGTATGGCACCACCCAACTCCGGATTCCTCGGGCTGTCTGCACGGCATAAAACTTCTGCTTCGCCCGTTTGGCGCACATTTTGTACACTCCTCCACAGGGCGTCGAGGGGACAGAGGCGCTATTCGGGAGGTTATGCTAGTTATGCACCGCGAGGATTGAGGCCTGAATATTATGCTGCTCTTCATTCACACGGGGTCTGCCCTCTCTCTGATGCCGGTTCCAATTGTGACTCTTCTGTTGTGTCTGCTGCTAGCCTCAAGGACTTTATCGTTCAGCCCATGCTATCGCCAGGTCACTCGCCATTTCCGAGTTCGCATATCTACGTGAATAGGACCATTTACATGCACTCTGCACCCATACAAGGATGCAAACCCTGTTTTATACAAGTCTTGATAACGGGTGTCAAAAGGAAATGCGGCCAAATTGTGTGCACACAGTTGGTACAGCACTGCCAATGTGCGGGAATCGAGCTCAACATCACGGTCAACCACCAAGCTTCTTGTTGGCCGGGACATACCGAGACTCAGCAGCAGTAGCCCACATACCTATGTATTCTCGTCCAACACTAAACTGTTGCCGAGTTACACTTGTGCTCGTCCTTGCAGTCACCCTCCATTGTCATGATGACCAATTCCAGGTGAGACTCCCCGTCATCGCGCGCAGATTGTGACGAGGATGGCACGCGTGCACAACTGGCCGGAGACTTAATGCCCGGGCCACCTCCCAATCCCTTCCGGGATGACGCTGTACCCTCGTTGTTTTGGCCATCCTGGCTCAGGCGGACACAGTTGCCGGACCGGCTGAGGCTTTTGCTGAACTTGGATCCCGTCGTTCGGAGGCTGCTCACGTATCTGGCTATAAAGAGGCGGGCGCCTGGCAGGCAGGCCACCATAACCCCGACGGTGATTTCTATGTACGACCAGGTGACTGTCGCGAAGTAATCCCCTGTGCGTTGGGAGTTAGTTTTATCAGTGAGCAGTGACTACCAACCTCATTCACTCGTGGGCTTACTAGTCGGATTCTCCGTGTTCGCGAAGCTAACCAAAGTCTGTATGCGGACAATGCTCGTCAATGTGAGGCTGAATCAAAAGGTCAGTCACCCTAGATCAGTAACACACACGTGCGATGAGCAGCGAGAAACAGGACACCCACAAGATTCCAATTCCAAACATCAGGATGACCCCGACCTTCTTCCTCGTCTTCATCTGGAGGCACCACACCTGCGTGGCCGGCAGGTAAAGCATCCAGAAATCCAAGGCGATGTTGAGGGCGGAATGGGCCCACGCGAGGGCATTGATATTGAAGCAGCGGCCACTGTGCTCGCCGTCCCATGAGCCCCAGAAAAAACTTATCGGCTGGCATTGGAGGAAGTCGGAGACGATGAAGCTCCCGACCATGAGCAGGTTGAAGGCCTGCGTGGCCCACACGGTGCGGCGGAACTTTTGGTCAGGGAAGAGCCACAGGTACAGGAACAATATGGACGTCTTGATCAGGCCGAGGGTCAGCGTGTAGAGCACCTCGAAGACGAAGAAGACCTTGAGGAACTCTGTGATCCGCCAGGGCTCAAGGGTCCAGATGTCCCGGCCCAGGCCGTAGCGTTCCTCGAGGATACTTCCGGCGAGCCAGCCGGCAGCGAGGAGCTTTAGATGAGTATTATTGTCAGCATGATTATGTTTTCTAGTGTTTGAGCCAAAGCGATGAGTGTGGGGTACGAACCCCGGATATCACAATCGTCGTGTCGTCGTGGCCCCAAGGTGCAAGCCGCAGGGCCCTGGAGGCTAGTCGCATGGCGAAAAATAACAGTCCTACCAGGAACAGAAAATATCTGAGGACATTAATAGTGACGGTCTCGTTCCGGACTGGAAGGCCGCAGGTGGTTGAGGTAATAATTTTGATGGCTGGGATATGTGATTAGTTACGTCTAACACAGTCGAACTCGCAACGTCCTTACTGAGCGACTCTATAACGGTACAGTCGCTCCTCACACAAGAGGTCACAACATTGTTGAACGCTGTGTCCAAGCAAAGGCACGTCTCGTTAGTAGGCGGACATTCTGACTTTGGCAAGGAGGCTGCGAGGCATTCAAGCTATACGAATGTTGGTCAGCACTCTATACTCCGCATAGACTGCACCTTTGAACTCAACTTACACCGCAGCCCGGCATGCCAGTGTAATCCATCTAGTTTGATCCACTGCCTGAGCGGGCACTGGTCTCGGATGGATCCAGATCACCCAGAGTGCTCGAGTTGCTGACTGTTCTCACAGGGGAAGTCCTGATTACGGACTGGCTGTGACATGTATGGCCTCTAGTCATGTGCCAAAGCAAAAAGAAGTTCATGACGAAGATCAATCCGTCAGCCCGGGAATCGGCTGGGTAGGTGAGATACACCAAGTTGATGTTGGTCGGGGCATCACCTCGACCACACAGCGTCAATCGCGACTAAGACATCTAATCAATAACACATGACTCTCTTTAGCACGCGAATCTCAGGGGGGGGGGGGAGCTTGGAAGGTGAATAGAGTTCCCCGGATAAGCCAAGGCGGGGACGTGCGCTCCAGAAAATGTCACGAACATCACACTTCCACACGTGTGACCTCGATGATCTTGCCCCGAGTTCATTACTTAGAGTTGCCGCTTAGACACTGGCGAGATCCACGAGCTGAAATAGCGCAAGGGCAAACAAGCAATATCTGGGACGAGGCGGGGTCATGTTGCAGCAGAGAACCGGTCCACCACAGCCAGCATTGCAACGGATTGCGAACCGATGCCTCGTGCGCACAGAGCCTCTGTCTGTCCCAAACGAACTGCAGCCCCCCCCGGCGTTTTGACTTGTGCTCCCCCCTCCGTCCCCAAAATCCTAGATTTTAAATTCAACTGCAACTCAATATACCTTTACCAAAGAATTTAACATATAAATAAAAATTATTTATTTATAATTCTTATCTTATAATATATATTTATTTATAATTCTTATCTTATAATATATATTATTTATTTTTATATATTATTTATATTTTATTTATTAATAAAAATATAAAATATAAAAAATATAAAATAAAATAAAATATAAAATATAAAATATAAAATATAAAATATAAAATATAAAATATAAAATATAAAATATAAAATATAAAATATAAAATATAAAATATAAAATATAAAATATAAAATATAAAATATAAGATATAAAATATAAATATAAATATTAAGTTAATCTTAACCTTAACTTTAAGTAATTTAAAGCTTTTTAAATAAAAAATTAATAAATTATATTTATTAATTTTTTAATTAATTTCATTAAATTAAATTTATTTTTAGTTTTTTAATTTTTTTTTAATTTTTTATTATGATTTAAGCTTTACCCATTATAATTAATTAATAGGCTTTAGCCTTATAAAAATAAGCTTTAATATAAATATAAATAAAAAGCAAACCTTTTTTTTTATACTTTAAATATAAACTTTATTTAAATACCTTATAATAAATAACTTAAGGCTAGCTTATAATATATATTTAAAGTCCTCTTATATTATAAACTTATAATGCAATTATATAAAACTTAATATAATGAAATTTAAAAAAAATAATAATAACTTATTAAGCTCTTTCTTATTTTAAGAAATTCTTATCTTAAGAATACTTAATAACTTAATTAATAAAGATAAGGGCTAAATTTATAATAAATAAAAAAGTAATTAATATTAAAGAAGCTTAATTCTTTTATATATTTAATTAGCTAAAAACTTTTTATAATTAATTTCTGCTTTATATTAATTTTATAAAGATATTTAAAAGGTAATTAAAAAGCTTTTTAAAAAAAGTTTATTTTATACTTAAAAATTCTTTTAAATAAAGGTATATTAAGCTTAGCTTAATTATATTATAATAGCATTATAAAAAGAAAATAATAAAATTTCTTATTTAATTTAATTAATTAACTTATATAATAAAAACTTAAAGTTAATTAAATAAATATAAAATATTATTAATAATTAATAACTTAATCTTTATAATAAAAGCTTAGCTTAATTATAAAAAATAATTAAATATATTTAAGGCCTTTTGCTTTACTTTATAATAATATAAAGGTATTTTTAATGCTATAATAAGAGAAAATAATACTTAACTTTAAAATAATAAAGTAATAAATATTAATATTATAATAAATTTAATAAGTAAAGTTAAGTATTTTATATATAATAATTAACTTAGCTATTATAAGTATAATTATTTTAATTATTATAAAAGAATAAAGATATAGCTTTTATTAATTAAGGCTAGTAAAAGAAAGGAGTTTATTTAAGGAAATATAAAATTTTCTTTTATAAGATAGGGCTTAAAAGCATTATTAGCTTAATGCTAATTTAAGCTTAAAATAAATTAACTATATATTAATTAATTTAATATTATAAAAATGCTTAAAATTTAAAAAAGTTTTATTAATAAAGTAAATTACTTATAATTAAGCATTAATTAATTATAAATTATATAATAAATTTATAATTTTAAGGTTTTAAGTAAGAAAGCTTATATAAAAGGCTTATATTAAAAGATTATAAAAATGCTATTAATTTAACTATTAATTTATACTTAAATAATTATTTCTTATTAATTTATTTTAATTAATATATTAAATTATAAGGGTTAAGGTATATTAATTATAAATAATAAGCTAAGTTTTTAATATAATTAAAATGCATTAAGGTATAATTAAATAGCTAAATAAAAAGTAATATTCTTTATTTTTATTATATAGCTGCTTTTTAAAGCTTATTATAAAAGTTTAAAAAAGAAAGATATATTATAATTTAAGCTTTGCTTATTATAATTAATTAATAAGCTTTAGCTTTATAAGAATAAGCTTTAATATAAATATAAATGGAAAGCAAACCTTTTTCTTTATACTTTAAATATAAACTTTATTTAAATACCTTATAATAAATAACCCAATGTTAGCCCATAATATTTTTTTAATTTTTATACTTTTTTAAAGTTTATTAAATTTAATAAATAATAATTATAACTTTATATATAATATTATATAAATTATTTATTTTTATTATAAGCTAGCCTTTAATAAGGTTATAAGCTGGCTAGCGCCTTTCCTTATAAGCTAGTTTTATTAGCAACTTTATAGCTATTTAAGCTAAAAAATATATAATAATTCAAGCTTTCTTGAATTATTTAGCTATATTATATAAGGCTTAAGCAATAAATAATAGCTTAAGCTTATTATAATTTTTTATTTTTAATATATTAATATTAAAAGGGTTTACTTTATATAAAGTTTTATTTTAATATTTTAAAGTAAGTAGTTAATGGTAGTAATAGCTAGTTTCTTTAAAATAAAGAGGATTTTATAAAAAAATGCTTAAGATATCCTTATATAAATTAAAAGAATTATATATTAATATTAATACTTTTTATTTTTTTAAGAAATAAAGCATACTTAAGCTTAATTTACTTATTAATTTACCATTTAATTATATAATTTATAAAAATAAATATTATTTCTTAATCTCTTAATTAAGTAACGTAATTTATTAATAAGTAATAAATATTAATAAGTAACGGATTTTTATAACTTTACTTAATTTTCAATTAATATTAACACTACCTTAAGGCTAATAAATAAATAAAAAGTTAGCATTAATTAATATTAATTACTTTTAATTCCTTATTTTTAATTAATTTAATTAATTTAAAATAATTAAAAATAATTATATTAAAGTTTAAAATAATTAACTTTTAATAAAAAAGTTTTATTTTAATATTAATTATATCTTAATTTTTTATATTAATCTTACTTTAATTTACTTACTTAAATATTTAATATATTAAAAATTAATAATTATTAATATATTTTTTATTTAAAAAAGATAAAGTTCTTTTAATTATTTAAGCAATTTAAAAATTTAAAAAAAATAATGCAAAACCCTTACTTATAACTTAAGCTATTAAGATTTTTTATATTCTTAAAATTATATTTTATTATAAAATAAATTAATAATGCTTTTATAAAGAATTATATATTAATATATATAAACTTAATTAAATTAAAAAATAAATACTTATTTAATATATTATTAAGTAAAATATTTAAGAATTTTCTTTATAATTTATTAATATAAAAAACATAATTAATTTTTTATTAATATTATATAATACTAAATTTATTAATAAATATTAAACTTAATGCTTTATAAACTTATAACTTATTTTTAAAACTAAGTTTAATTATCTTTATAATTATTAAAAAGCTTTTTATAAAAATTTAAAGATTATTAAGAATTAATTTAAGCTACTTTATAATATAATAATTATGTGGGAATAATGGGTGTCGTTTGTATGGAGGACTGTTTGGGACTAGGCAGCTTTGGCCCGTTGGGATGCCCGGCAGGCAGCAGCCCTGGCGCTGCATACAAAATAGCTAGCACAGTCAGGCCTTCTGCCTTCCTTCCTTCCATAGTCAACAACAACGAACAACCACTACACCACCAAACGTCGTATTGCAATACGTGACCCAGCCAACAAATTAAATATAAAATTATAAATAATAATCTTTATAACTTTAATAAAATTAACTTTATAATAAATATAATTATTATATTAATAATAATTATATATATTAATAAATATAAAAAAGTTAAATTAATTTAACTTAATAATTAAAAATAAGTTATAATTATTAAATATATTAATATAAAAAGTTAATATATTTTATTATTTATAATTATTTAAGGCATTTATTACCTTATAAGTTAAGCTATAAAATTAAGCTTTTTAA